GAGCCGGATCTGATGTATTATAAGGGATTTATCTTTTCTATTGATTCTTGCGGATTGAATAAAAAACAATTTTTGAATGAGGCTAGGGATGAATCGAAAAAGGAATTTCCCCCACCCCAAGTTAAATAAGAAGAACAAGAGAAAAAAGAGATTTGTAAATAAGAAAGTTACTGTACTTAATAAAGCATTGGATTGCAGATATGGCTAGTAGGGGATGGATTGAGTGAAGATGAACAATTGAAAGCACCAAAAGGAACATTATTCATTCCCTTTTCACAATTCCCACCAAGGAAAGCTCGCAAAGATTGCCTCTACTTTCACACACCAGCCATGATCACTCCAAAACACTTTGAAAACGTGGACTCCTGTGAGGTAATAATATACTAAATTCCCTTTGTTTTTTCTTCTTTTTTCAGTTTCACTAAAAAATTCAATCTTTTATTTTAATAAAACAATAGAATTGGCTTCCAAGAAGAGTGATGAGCGCGTGGCGAGTAGCTGGAATATTGCACGCGCTGGAAGGCTGGAATGAGCATGAGTGTGGGAACATGATGTTTGATATTGAGAAAGTCTGGAAAGCAAGTCTTGATCACGGTTTTAGCCCATTGACTACGGCTTCTGCTTCTGAATCCAAGGCTTGAGTTAGACATTTGTGTTGTAATTTCTAGCTTGAGTGTGGTGGCATATGAGCTTATAATTAAAATGCATACTATATAAAGTATCAACTTGATGTCAAATCTTGTTGTTCCTATTGTGTAAGACCTTTTTCAGGGTTTTTATTTTTATTTTTTAAATTATCAATTTCGTTCTCCGGATCGGACGTAGGAGTACTGTATTACGTGATCTATTACATATATAAGATCAATCTTTCAAAGAAATATAAAGAAATGAGTGGTTGATGAAATATTTCTGAGTACAAAGCCATTCACTAAAAAGCCCAATTGCGTTGCTTTCTAGGTTTTGCTTCATCTCGTTGCTTTGTGTGTTTTCAACCAAAATTTGATGCCTTTCATAATTCAAAATGTCAACTTGTCTCTTCTAATTACGTTATATATTGCTGCTACGTGCTACTTGGACTCAACATTATTCAAGTCTTGTAATCAGAGGCGGATTCACGTGGAGGGGCATGGGGCACGTGCACCCATGCTCCCCTCCTTAGGCTGTGTATCACAGGGATATTTTTCGGATAAAGTACTTAATTTTCGGCGTGGGAACTCATGGTCAAAAGAGCATTTGGTGTAGTGGTAGCTGTTAGGGATATAGTAGATATGCTCTAGATCGAATATCATATTTGATGATTTGAACATATTTTGTGAACGTTATTTGATATAAAATATATATGGCATTTGATATTCTTTTATCATTGTTATTAATTGCTTGATTAATTTGATAAAGTCCTTGATTAAATTTTGAGACTTGATATTGTGACGGAGATCATGATAATGAGAGTAAAGTTTCTTATAATTTAATCTAAATTTGTTCTTGATCGTAGGATTATTAATTTGGACATTAGTAATCCGGTTAGATCAATATTTGTGATCGTCTTTACGGGATAAAGATTAGTTGATCTCATTAACTAAATTATATAGATAGATGATGCATATAGAGATATGATCATTGAACCGACTCATTGGATAATTCCTAATGGTTAGAATTACCATAAACTGTCAATAGGGTATTCTCTTGAAGAATGTGATGTAAAAATTTCCTTTGACCTGAGATCGTCATAGTAATTGACAAGTTATTTATTGTGCTTTGATACCAGACACCTATGGCCCTAGGGCGATAGTTGAAAGGATATTGGGTACGATTAAATGCTTGTACAATTAGTGATTGATCAAAATGGAATCTGTCGACTCTTGGTAATGAGTTTAAGCTCCATGTTGTCATGAATTATAAACGACCAAACTAAGACCTTGGCCAGGGAAATTGAATGAAAGAAGAAATGAGTTTCTTAGGTCATTCACTGGTCGATTATATTTGACATGAATACATAGTTGATCGCCTATTAGGATTTGACAGTTGAACAATATCCTAGGGTGATCCAGAGCTACAAGGACAGAAGGATCTACTACATTATTCTTCTACTGGTTCTTGAGAGTAAATTGTATACTTCATGCTATCCCATCGTTAAGGAGTGTTGCTAGACCCACCCTTGATTAGTATATTGATGTGGTCAATTTATTACCGGCTTAGTATTGAACCTATGGGGTCGCACACTAACGAGTGTTCTGATCTTTGCTAAAGGATTAATTACTTTAGTATTCGATAATTAAATTAAAGAATTTAACTAGTCAAATAAATTTAAATTATTAGCCCAATGAAATATTATTGTATTCTTTGCTAGCACAGAGGATATAATTAATATTGTGAACAAATTGAAGTTTTCTATTTGGAATAGAAAATTAAACTATATCTCTTGGATGAAATATATATGTGATATATATAGTTGGTACTCATAAATAATATGAAATATTAACAAAAGAGTTATAAGTTGAATCCAACTTTGAATTGGATCAACTGGAAAGTCCACGTCTGCCACCACAATCCCATTTAAAATGGGATTAATGATTCTCTTTATATGGAAGTATTGTACTCCATATGGAATTGGACTTACACGTGAAGTCACTGCCTTAATTAACCTATTCCTACCCTTTTTGGAAAAGGTCAGTAATTAAGGTATATGTCAGTATATATGTATACATGAAAGCTTCACGCAGGAGGGTAAGTGAAAAAAAGAAAGAAAAGGCCACAAAATAAGAGATACGTTGCTGACAAGAAAATTATCTTCCTATCTTGCTACTACTACGCCGAAAGTTTTGAGAAAATTCTCAGCTTAGTATTTTTATCAATTTGTTCGCGGGTTTCATTGATCAAAGGGTTGATAGCAAGGGTCGGTCTCGGTGTGGATATGCATAGAGTCTTCACACTATCGAAGAATTTTGAAACGAGACTCTCTTCACCAGGTACGCCTCAGATCCGATCTTTGACATGTAAATAAATTTTAAACACGAAAAGATCTGCCTAGGATTGTTATTGTCCTCCGCTGCGTGTTACGAACACCTATATGTAATCCTTCAGTGGTATCAGAGCCGTGGTTTATTGTGTCTAAAATTTATTTACGAAATATTTTAAGATTATATTGAAGAGTTCAAACCATAATACATGTGTATTGTGCAACAGTCAAATTGTTTGAATGCATATGGATTGATATAATTTTATTGTGAATAAAATATATATACATATAAGTTAAACTATTGATATAGTTCGTAACTTGAATTTGAAATTTATGTATTAGATACGACGGTAATCCATAATAGGTTATTGGATTCTACTGTTATTTTAATTGTTATTAGTTCATGAGATGTTAATTAATAATAGTTTTCTGGCATGAATTATTTTTATGTGATATATAAGATATACATGTTCGAAGATGTTGAATTTCGTTTTTATGTCACGTGGTTGTTCATTACATAATTTTGAATTATTTATTACATGTGATGTAAATTAATTTAGGACTAAGCATGTAAATAATTTGAACTAAATTCACATGCTATAAAAGATTTGATCTTCATGTTATTAAAAACTATTTTAGTAACAATTCCCTCTCATTAAAATTTGAGTTCTTAAATAATAAAATATAAGATATTTTATTATAGAGCTATCCATCAAGGTAAATAATTTTACTTATTTCTTGTTTATAAGGAGCGGTCTGACTACCAGGAGACTTATAGTTCGAGAATATGTTAAAATTATTTATTGCATTAGATGTATGGATTGAAAGAATTATTCAATTTTACACTAGACGCCTGGACCACTCGGGGGAGTATAAAATTTAATAAGTTCTTTGCTATCATGATGGTTGAACTCAACTATGCTAATAGGATCGACTTGACTACCACGGGACTATTTGACATAGAACTATTTAAGGAAATTGTATGGGGATACAATTGGTAAGAGTACCTACCTTTAAAATATATGTGAGAAACGACTTGACTTCCAAGAGACTCATACATATTGTTAAAGGATTCCTTTAGTCCACTAACAGAAATAAAGATTTCGTAAACTATAATGAGGGTAAATAGTTTAAAATAATTAGTGAAAATATCATTTAGATAAAAGTCCATGTCTTTATGATATATGCAAATATGTTCTTATATTATTGCCTTTTCTTTTCTATATTTTAGATTTCTCAATATGTCTGTTATATCACTGCATGAAATACTTGAGACCAACAAGTTGGTAGGACCAAACTTTGATGACTGGAATAGAAATTTGAGAATTATTCTCATGCATGAAAAGCTCATTGATGTGATCGATTACCCTGCAAAGATAATTCCACCAGAGAATGATATTCAAGGCATCAAGGTTTATCAGAAACACTTGGAGGAATGCCTTGCTATTAAATACATCATTCTCGCTTCTATGAGTTCTGAACTCCAGAGGAAACATCAGAATATGGATCCAACTGCAATCATTGAATATCTTAAGAAGATAGTTGATACACAGTTGGGCATTGAAAACTCTCCAGTTGGACCCCTTGTCACTCATGTGATTGTTCTTACCGAAGAACATGAAAAGTTGGGGTACAAGCTTGGTAAAGAGCTTTCTGAAGATTTGATCTTGTAGTCAGTATATGATGCCGAATATTTTCATTGTAAGAAGAAAGGGTATTGGAAGAGAAACTACAAGGAGTATCTTGCAACTCTAAAGGACAAGAAACAAGGTGAGACATTAATGAAAAATGTTTTCAAGGTTTCTTTAGCTACTACTAATTCTTCACTGTGGGTATTAGATACTGGCAGTAGTTATAACATATGCAATATATTGCAAGGGTTCAAGATAAGTAGGAAACTAAAGAAATGAGAAGTTAATCTACGAGTTAGAAATGGTGCAAAAGTTGCGGCCATAGCTGTAGGAACAATTTCTTTAATAATACCTATGAGCAAAGTACTTATGTTGGATGATTGTTATTACGTTCCTAAATTTGTTTCGAACATAATTTCAGCTTCTATGTTAGACAAACGTGGTTTTCGCATTAATATAGGCAATGGTATTTGCTCTATTTATTATAGTGATAATTTATATATGAATGGCTATCTCCAACATGATGTTTATGTCTTGCCTAATGTGAATGCTAATTCGATTATGCATGTTTCAAGTCTTAATAGGAAAAGAGATGATCATATAAATCATACATACCTTTGGCATTGTAGGCTTGGTCATATTGGAGAGAAAATAATTAACAGGTTATACAAGGAAGGGTACCTTGACAAGTATGATTTTGAATCATATTCAACTTGTGAATCTTGTCTTAAAGGAAAAATGACTAAATCTCCATTTATTGGAAGTGAAGAAAGGGCTTCTGAATTATTAGGACTAGTTCATACAGATGTTTGTGGGCCCATGAAAATTCAAGCTAGAGGTGGATATTCGTACTTCATCACCTTCACTGATGATATGTCAAGATATGAATTTGTGTATCTTATGAAACACAAGTCTGAATCTTTTGAAATATTCAAAAGGTTCCGTAGTGAAGTTGAGAAGCATACTGGTAAAAGTATCAAAGTACTAAGGTCTGATAGAGGTGGAGAATATCTTAGTGAAGATTTTATGAGATATCTCAAAGAGAATGGGATTCTCTCATAGTAGACACCTCCAGGAACACCACAAAACAATGGTGTGTCTGAAAGGAGAAATCGAACCTTATTAGATATGGTGAGATCTATTATGGGGTTCACTGATATTCCAATAAATTTATGGGGATATGCTTTGGAAGCAGCAACATACTTACTTAATAAAGTTTCCACTAAGTCAGTCTCTATAACACCATGAGATATGGAAAGGATGTAAGTCTAATCTTAAACATATTAAAGTTTGGGGTTGTCCAGCTTATGTTAAGAG